TTAACATTTGTAAAATTAAACATAGCTAAAATGGATAACATTAATAACAGTTAAAAACATATACAAAACATAGCAAAATTACTCGTAAAACACTGTATCGTGAAGCACTGCATTCTATCAAATTTTGTTCTAAAATATATGTTAAAATTTAATACCAGCTCCTTTCTTTGTAGTGGGTAGCTGTCAGTTACTTGTTACTATGGTAACCACCAACTGACAAGTGCAACATAACTGAACTTTAAACACCAATAATGTCTGAAGAAACAACTTGTTGATTAAACAGAATAAATTTATTTTAAGCTTGATCCCAATTTTCCTTTAAGAACTGCAATAAAATACATAGCAACAGCTGTTTGTTTTATTAGCCTCTCTGCTGCAAGTTATCATTAATTATTTTTTAGTAGATATAATGGCCAACGCACAGCAGTCACTGTAAAACATTTTTATTTTAAAATAAGGATAAATGATTTGATGATGACATCTTAAATTGTTATTATCTAATATTGATGATTAGCACAGCTGGCATTACTAAAATAAATCTTCCAGTTTGTTGGAGAAGAGACACATGAAGTAGATCCTTACTTTAACTCTGAATTTGAAAAGCTCCAATATCTGAAACAGAGCAGCTCTACTGTTCTTGGTAAAACCTTTCTTGCATACTGAAGGTCTTGCTCTTTCTCGCTGTCCTTCAGCCTGAAATATTAGCAATCTGATGCTGAATATGGCTAACTTCAAGCCTTTTCAATAAGTAACATCAACACCAAACATGGTGTTATGAGCACGGCTTGTTAGAATATTTGTTTAGCATGTTCACTGATCTGAAATAATATTTGCTGTTAAGTTTCTTACCAGCAACTGATGGATCAAAGAGTTCAAGTTAAACATCAACTGCTTCCACATCCGATTATCAATGTTTTGCTAAAATAAATTGGGGTCCAATAATTCATTTTTGGACCCTGATTTAGAGAAACATCAGTGGTAGTTGGTGCATGTAGCTCTTGTTTACTGTATCCTTTTAGTAGTGAAGCACTAGATTTAATTTATCTGTTTTTCTGAGGGCATGTGTTTATAAAACTGCTAAAAAAAATTCACATTTCTTATTTTATTTGGTCAAAGTAAAAAAAAAAAAAGAAGCATTTCAATAAATATTCAGAGGTAAATTTTAGCATGCTTTTAAACATCCTTCAAAGTGATTAACATAATGACTTTTTCACTCCAGTCCCACATAAAATTTAACGCTAAATGTTTGTATTTTATTTTAACATGGAAATGATGTTTCTGTTCCTGAATGTTAATCCTCCCTTCCTGATTTTTCCCTCCAATGTTGTTTTGTCCTTCCTTTCTCTGTAGCTGGTGCTGTTTGCAGGAAAGCTCAACACCATCGCCAGCATTGTGACCATTTTCTTCCTACTGGTGTATGCCGCCGTGGACTTGGCTTGTCTCGCCCTGGAATGGGCTTCTGCACCTAATTTCAGGTACCCATACATAACAGGCACACACCCCAATTTGTTTTTTTTTTTTTTTCTTATTCTGACATTTTATTTTATCTGTGTGTGGGAGAGGTTGTTTGCTTGCTGGATGCTGCTACAGTGATGGTATACTAATTAAAAAACATAAAACTGACCAGTGCTTACAGCCCAATGGAGAATAGGGACTAACAATAAACCGACTGAGGGTGAGGCCTGAGCTAGATGTGGGGGTAATGACGCGTGGCGATGCTCAGAGATTAAGCTTTACAGTCTTTGTGTGTACAAGTGAATTCGTATTCCTTGGTCACTTGCAGTGATCCTGATTTATAAGAGCTCGCTGATAATATTCTCTTGCATCGCTCAGATTACCTGTGGACATGGTGGAGGTTTATGTGACTGGATGATATTACGGCACAGCCAGAGTTTGGAATTTGATTCACTACACACCTTTTTATGAGTCATTTCACATCTCCCTGTCAGCTGCTGATGTTGTTGTGCAGAAAATATCCTCCTCAATTCAGTAAGCATAAGGTTTATCCAGAGGCGGCTTCTTCTTGCAGGAAATATTTAAACCACTTGAGTTTTATTTGCAATGGAGGAATGAAATAGTATAAACATCACATGTTGCTTTATTGTTCTGACAGATTGCATCCAGTGCTGGTTTAAGAGTTAGATATTCTTCTGCGGCAATACTCAGAAATGAGTTGCAGTGCATGTTAACGACACTTAAGCTTCTGTTATCGCAGACACATCAGCAGGCTGCAGCTCAAATGATCTTCTTGAAGTGGGGAGATGCTTAAAGGATCCTAAACAACACGAAGGTAGTACTTACTAAATACAAACATCTAGAATAGCAACAAGCTACATGAGTCATACTCAATAATAGTGATTATCAATTATTATTAATACCCGTGAAGAGATTTTCTGATCAAATTGTGACGATTCTTGACAGAAATAATAATTTACCCATATAGAAAACATTACAACAAACATTCATTGATTCTGTTTATGTATTTTCACATGTACTTTTTACTTACAACTTTAAAATGAGCATCTTATACTACAAAATGTTTCACACATGCTTAAATAAGCTTTTAATAAACTGAAAGAACTTACCATGTCAGTGAAAATTTTCAGATGACTCAGCTTCCAAGTGACGACTGTTAAGTTAAAAAATATGTGAGGTCAAGCATCTATTTAGTGTTATTTTATAAACTAATAGGTTTTATCCCAAAAATTACATAAAGCTTATTGATTCAATGTGCAGTAACATGTCACCACGTTTAGCTGATAGACCCTCCAACAGAGCCTTGATGTTATGATGTTATGATCTTCCCAACCAGAGGTATCATATGATCACAAATTGATTGGTCGTTAATTATTCAGTGGTATTGTGAACTTTTAGCACAATACTAATGTGCTAAAAGTATTATGGACCAACATGAACGCATGGTGTTCATGTTGGTCCATCTGGTCTGGAGCTCCATTTGTATCTTTACAGTTTTCAAGATGTTTATTTCTCTCATTATCTTCAGTTGCATCAACACCTTTTATGTTATCACCGTCTACAGAAGCTGTGTTCCCATTATAAATGCACAAAACTTTTTCAGGATTCTGCTAATGACAGAAAAAAAAACACAATTTCACAATTGTAGTTTTTCCATTAAATAAAAAAATGGAATTAAAATCCCACGTGAATAAGCTTGTTAAAATGATAAGTTATTAAAAATCATAGTGGCGAAGGATGTAAACACTTAAATCAGATATGTAAGATGTATGCTATCAGAGGAAATGTCGGTATCTTACTCAGACATTGATGTGGCAATATCCTTATACTTGGGAGTGACTACATATGCAGCTTTTTTGGGAAATTGTAGCTGCCAGTTTTACAAAAGAGTTATGAATACAGTACTTTTAAATAACAAGCTCAACTTTTTATGCTCTGAGACCTCTGGTGGAATTAGCTGTGCAATGTCCAAAGAGGCAAATGCCTACAAATAGGAGCTTTGCTGCTGTATGTAAATTAGCCTGATGCAAAAACGTAATTCTATTGCAATTTTGCAAGACACACAAATTTGGATTGAACTGAAAAACTGTCATTCTAGTGCAATGGGCGTGTTTAGTTAGTAAGCAAATTTATTTTTGTAACTCTAATTTTAGTCAATGGAAACTCGACTAGTGGAATAAAGCCAACTTCTACAACTGATGGATCCATCCTGCTGATTTTGTGACCTTTTGCTTTTTAATTATTTTCTTCTTTTTTTTTTTTAATTAACTTACCTGAAGGGAAAGACTCACCTGTAAGATGTTTCCAATGCCACCTCCTGGCTTAATTAACTTCTGAGAAAAAAGGATGCCAAATATACCCATTAACTAAGATAATATTTTTTGGATATGTTGTGTTTTTTTTTTCTAAAGTAAACATTGCCACTTGGCCAATATAAAGAAGCTCATCACTTTTGATTAGTTATTGCAATATTCCTTTCAGAAGTCTGGTCCAAAACTGCTACACAATTTCTCCTGCAGTGTCTATTTTCTTAAAAGCTATTAAAAAAAAAAAACGATCTGTTTTGCTCTCAGCTTCCAGGGCAAATGCTAAATGAAATAACCAACTTCTGAAGATATATCTTTAAACCATGTTGAACATGAAAAATGAATAGATTTTTGTGTCTCTGCCTCCCACTGTGCTTTATTACTTGTGTGCCTGCATACTAAAGGTGGTCATATTTACATTGCACAACTGTAGGAGCATCCAGTGGTGTAATGCAGCAGAAGCAATTTTGTCTGGCTCTTTTGAATTATTTCATGATGAAATGGCAGTTCAGGTGCATTGTCAAAATTTTTTATTGGATTAGTGAAAGTACAGCCATGCCGGTTCTGCATGAATAAACTAGGCTGACAGTTCAGTAAATGCCTTATTCTGATGTATACCTCAAGCAGTGAAGCAGGGCTGGAGCATTGAATACGCACGAATGGCCTAATAACAATGGTTTCAGTCCTTACACTAACAAAATAACATGTCAGAATGACTGTCACTGAACAAAGAAATGACCTATAAATCTGGTCATATGTAATGGATGGTTCATGAGCCTAATTATTCTCATTGTCAGATTTCCACGTCTGGTAATATCAGCACAGGAGTCACTGGTCTGTCCTTTGAGGCTCATTATACATGGATTTTTGCTCATCATTGTCTAGGATTTAAACAGTTACCTCCCTTACTTTGCTCAAAAAGAATCCTATTCATCCACAGTCATGCTTTAGTCCCAATTGTAGAAGTTGTTTGTCACAAGTTTTTAAAAATCTTGGATACTTTGGTGTGTGCTGGTTGTAAAACAGTAGTGCAAACTGTGGATTTTATTTTGTTAATCTTTTTTTCTCTTTTAACAATGCTTTTCACAACAAAAGAGAGACTGTACTGATTGCTGTCATCATCTGTATCAAGTAATCTGTTCTGACTGCTGTACTTAGTATTTATTCATGAAATTTCCCATAGAAGCCAAATAATATTTTAATTGTTCATTTTTAAATGCGTTTGTGTTTATGACACTTTCTTTCTATCTTCCTTTATGTTCTAATAGAAAAATGTTTTCTTGTATGAATTATAAATTCCTACAACACTCCATAAACATCATGAATAATACAAAACTAAAAGGTCAAAAAAGTGTTTAAAAGAAGCGGCACTTGGAGGCCAGAATTGGGGCCACCAGAGGGGCCCCCCAAGTAAAATGTCTGGTCTGAATCTGTAAATGTAATGAAGAAAGGACATTTATTATTAACTATGATTTGTACAGTTAGTCAAGCTACACCCCTTATCTATGTATTCACATTTAATAATCTATTAAGAATTGATCGAATGTTGAGGAAGAATATTGTACACTTTATTTTGGAACAAAATCAGCGATCATTTTGAGGAGCATACTATTAAAAGTTACACTGCAAAAAGAGCAACAAGTAAATAAAAGCATTATTTATACTAGTCTGCTTTCTCTCTCAAGGTGACAACACTAGTGAGTTTGAGTTATTGGGGGCGAATGTTGCTGTGGTGTAAATCTATTTAAGTAGTCGGTATGACTTAAAAAGTACTATATATTCACTCAATTTGCCCTTTACTCTTTTTATATAGCTCTGCAGTTCAGTATTTAAGGTATTTTTAATGTGCATTCATCTTTTTTGCAAGTGAGTATACTGCTACTGGCTAAGTATTAGCTGTTAGCATCTGATTCTGAGTTTTCTATTGGTGCATGAATTTCAACTGCTTTTACTTCAACATTGCAGATTTTAAAATACAGTTTGAGATTTCTGCAACTTTTTGTTTCCTTTGTAAAGCCCAGAAGCGACATTTTCAATACTGTTCTGTCATTAGGACCTCCTCAGTATTAGTGCACAGTCGTGAAATGCGTTGTTTATTCTGTATTGAAGAGAAAACCTTCCCTGTTATCTACCCATCTTTATAAAAAACAAACACCCATGCATTTACACTTGAAATATTTGATTGGTTTTTCTGGGAAGTTCAAAGATTTTGCTTTTGTCTCCAAAGTTAGAGTAACTTCTGTTATCACAAACGATCAGAGCCAGACTGCCAGGAAATAATAATTTTCTCCAACAGAAGTTAGTATGAGTTTTCTCTCATACTAACTTTTAAGTTAGTATGAGAGAATAAAGCCTTCTAAGTTAGTATGAGAAGATAAAGCCAACATTTGCTTTGGTGCTTTGGATGTACAGAACTGTGTACTATCGGCTCAGGCCTCATTATCAGTATGTGACCGCTGGCAAAGCCTGACACAAAGTTAGCTCTCTAACTTTTTCTACTGTCCCCTCCCTGTTGGCCAGGGGCCCCGGGGCTCCCAGAGCCGATAAGAAGACTTGTTGTCTGGACGCCTGCCTATTTTGGGCCTTCTCCCCTGAGTTGTTAATTCAGTTAGTTCACTGTTGCTGTGCCACCAGACTAATTTTAATGCCAGTTGTTTGTGTTTATTGGTTTAATTTTTCTTTTTTTCTCCTCA